CACTGCACGTAGCGAGTATCTCGCACAGCTGCACGCTACCGTCACAGGCAAGCGTCGACTCGGTGATGAGCCTGCCGGCCAATCATCGTCGCAACTCTCTGCCGCGCCAGCCCAGGTCATTTGATCACGAGTCCTTGCAATCGGCACCGGTGGGCCCGGCCACCTCGCCCAGCCATGGCCACGGCAAACCGCCCAAGCGCTCCAACTCCTGGTTTGGCCGGCCGGTGTGGATCGACCGGGAGATCGCCAGTCGGCGTGACTGCGAAGTGGAGGTTCCTCACACGTTTGTGTTGCACAACTATAAGCGACCTACCATCTGCATGCTGTGCAGGCGACTTCTTATCGGTCTTATTCGCCAGGGAATGCAGTGCAAAGGTAGGCAGGCTGTGTCAACAGTGTTTTGGCATCACATCGATTTTTGTTTGTTTGTTCCGCCCTAAATAACTGATAGTGTGTGGAGGATTGTGTTCTTGAGGCAATGATGTCAGTTTTGCACTGGTGCCTCTGCGTGCGTGCGTGCGTGCGTGTGTCTGTCTGTCTGTCTGTCTGTCTGTCTGTCTGCCTGCCTGCCTGCCTGCCTGCCTGCATGTCTGTCTCTCTGTCTACGTCTACAATAACGTTTGTTTTTTAAAGCTAGTATAGACGTAAATAAATTTCCTCGTCAAGTACAGTGTAGTGGGTTGTCACAGTAATCATGGCATGGCACATGTCTGGTTTTCTACCGCCTAGATTGCAAGTACAACGTCCACCGGCACTGCGCTAACCGTGTGCCGAAAGACTGTCAAAGTCATATCCTGGATGGTGAGTCTTCTTCATGATTGTGCATCAGTGTCCTCTTGTGCTAGCCACTCTCCTATCATGCCCTAGGTATTTCCCCTTGTCCCTGGCTATGACCTTTGATAGGATTGGCTCACTGGGTGTGATAATTCCGGCAAGTACCTCAGCAGGTTGCATTTTCAGCATGCGTAACAGTATGACTGCAGTGAGAACACATACCTAGATTTCAGCAGTGGCTTTGTTTCCAAAGTACAGTGCCCCCCCCCCCCCCCCCCAGGGCTATGCCCCCCCCCATGTTGTATCCATAGCGACAGCAGAGGAAGAGTGAAAGAAATGCTGTAAAAGCAGAAATTTTCGGTGGTGTTATATTTTCGGTAACTTCGGTGCCAACACGTTTTACCTTAAATTAAACGCACCGAACATTTCGGTACTAGTACTGGAAAACGGGTTTACCACAAATTTCCCTCCACTGAACCGCCGATTTTGGAGAATAGCAAAAAAATTACATCGCCGATTTTTGCGTTTACAGTAGATGCGGTTAGGGCGCGTTAAGGGGGCTCAGTACTTCTGCGCGCGCATCGAAATCTGGGCATGATTTTATGCAAAATTTCGCGTTTGAAAACATTTTGTCCGCGGCTGGAGAAAGTTTTTTTGCGAGAAATAGTCGTGTTCAAAAGTTTATTTTGCGAGAATTCAAAGAAACTGCAGTCCTTGAACAGTTTGAACGTTTTGTGTTTTCCATTTTGGTTTGCTGGATGTCGGCGATCGATGGAGCTATGGAGCTTCGTGTCAAGTACTTGTAGTTATCAATAGGCACGGCCGTTTTCGTGGGCGCTCAGGAACAAAGCGTGTTCAATCTTCTTCAGGTCGTGTAGTTCTAACTTCCAGCTCAGATATGCCCTTTTCTCAGTCTCGCCTGCCAGTGAAGACAAGTAAACCTGCAAGATTGTCCAGAGCCCAGCTACCAGTGATACATGTATTTAGTCTCAGAACGCAGGTAAGTGACATGCTTCTCTCAAGTTCAAGTGCATCCACTTGAGTGGCACTTGGAACGATATCTATTTTTTCTTTTCCAGTCGCCAGATAAAAATATTACTGACGACTGTGAGAGAAAAACTGGTCTTGTACCTGCAGTACCTGGAGATAGTGGAGTCAGAGTGTAGTGTCTGCAAGTAGAGACTTGATCTCTGTGAGTAATGAGTGTGGTCTGGAACAGCCAGTAGGAACAGCACAGCGACATGCCAGTGAAGTGTTCTATGTGTGGGCAGGAGAATTTGGTCAGACATGTGAGTCTCATGCTGGATGGAGTGGAAAGCATGGATCCTATGAACTCTAAGGCTGCACTGGGTGAGTTCTGACCTGTGCCTGTGTTTCTCAGGAGAAGGCTGTGGGTTCAAGGTAGTATGGCTGTGCTTGTATCATTGAACTATGACAGGAATCTGTATATATTATAAAACTGAATATTGAAATATTGGCAATATGCCTTGTAGAACAACTTGAGCAGAGACAGTCACAGACACGTAATATTATGCATGGTCAAGTTGCCACATTTTCATGAGCTCGGCCTTGACCTAGACTGTAAATGCAGCATAAAAGTGTTATGCATGTTGTGAAGAACTGCAATATTACCCAGGCAAGGCAAGGCAAGGAATGTCAACTGAAATCATGAATCACAGCAGTACACATTGCAGCACTAGTCAGGCTTCTGTCACAGTCTCAGCAAACAAGCTGGAGTGGGCGTTTCGCTGCAACATGGGTGTTTGTAGAAGTCTAAATATTCTTCAACAACAACAACGTTATATATCATGCCTACAGGTACAATCATCTGGTGTTGGCATTTGAGAGGAATCAGGGAACTGGCATCCTTGGATTATTGCACGAACCGGGTGGCGATGGGCGTGTGCTAGTCACAACGAGTTCTGCTATTGCAAAACGCATAACACATCATCTAGCATCTGGAAGACCCAACACCAACACCCCTATTTTACACACTGCTCCAGACCGCACAAGTACTCCAGCAGCTGCAGGAGGTGCAGCATCGTCCCCACTTTCTACCACTCGTGATGATGCTGCAGTTATCTGCTCAAACATTCACGTTGTGCTGCACACTGGAGGCGCGAACCCACAATACCAACAGTGGCTGCTAGCCATCGCATCCAGCAGTAACCAAGCAACTCAAGTTGCTCATTGACAGCGTTATACTTATAATCCGTTGTTTTGTACATTTGATATACCCATGCATGTATGTATGTATGTACATTATATTATGTATGTACATCACAATATACAACAAAGATGTGAATAACACAATTCAGTTGTGACTGTTGCATGTGGTATTGTCTGGGATTGGTCTATAGCAAATGCTTCTCGCCCTACATAGTCAAAGTGAAGCTTGAATGAAGTCGATACACTCATTTTGGCAACAATGCTGAATCTGACTTTCAAGCTGAATATGCAAAATCCGTCACAAATTTTGTTTCTCACGGAGAAACGAGATGGTAGACATAAAAATCTATTTTTGTAGAGCCTTCCTATGGCCTTGAAGAGCAGATAATGACCATAAAATGGACCATGTTATTGTCTCGATTCTCCACTATTCAAACAAGTCTAAAGTCCGGTCTGCTGAAATACGCGTTTTGCCAAATCACATTCTGGGCTACCTTGGCCTCTCACAGTGGTCTGGGCATATGTTGTGGACATTTTCCAAAGAAGACAGTATTGTAGGCCCCTCCATACCCACTTTCAGGATTTTTGAAGTATTACCAACTGGAATTTTACGCCTTTAGTGAGAAATCATTGAATTTTTGCCGAAAAACATAGGTACAATAACACCCCCATAGCTGGGGAACCACATAATAAACCTATCCTTGAAATAGCCCAGACCAGTTCTCTAGGTGTCTGGCCATCTGAAAACACACAGTTCAGATCGATTTACCATAATGTTTTTTGCTCCCTCTTCGGGGTTGAGCCCCCTTAAGTTGGTACGAACTAGAACAGACTTCACCAGAACAGCGCGTTTGGTTGGGACTGCACCTGTTCTGGGTCGGCCAGAACATGTTCTGCTTGCTCCGGCCTCGAGGCCGGAGCAGACCAAGCAGTTTCATTTTTTCACAGTGAAACCTTGCGGGAACATCGGTTTTGGTCCCAAATGATCACGTGCATACGCTTTTGGGTTGGAATCGTCGTACCGTACACAGTGACCATGGTGATCCATACACATTTTGAAGAATGCACCAAGTTTGCCATATTTTTCACATAAAAAATGCTCTGTTTCTGGAGTACCGTTTGGCTGGCATGAGGCTGCTCCATGTGCACCAGCTGTTCGATCCTGTTCTAGATCGTACCAACCAAACGCACCCCTACATAACACGAGGCAAATCAAGAATGGCACTTAACCAATGTTGACGTGTCAGTTACTATTGGTCTCGTCATGTTATGCCATCATGTTGGTTGTGGTTATTGGATATTGCTTTTGCGGTTACTTTTCCAGAGACTAACATACCCCCCCCCCCCCCCCGATCAATTCTTGATCCTGCTTTGTGCTTTTGTCTATAGCGTATGCGTGCTCTAATCCGCCGCTGTGTACTGTTGTGCGAATGCAGAACTGCAGAGTCGAGGTCAGTCGGAAATGGGCCCCGGCGTACTGGTGGGCGATGCTGAGAACGGGTCCAGCCCGTGCCACGAACATGCTCTGGATGAGCTCATGGACCATGACGATCATCATCCTGCGGCCGAGGGCAATGGCAATGCCGAGAACTCAGAAGGAAACAGTGTACATTCGGTTGCTGTCCGTCGGCATTCTCACGACTCTGAACTCTCGGCTAACATTCCGCTCCAGAGGGTGTATGTGTCCGTCCCGAAGAATGGCAGCAGTCGCCACTCAACCATCAAGGAAGGATGGATGGTGTGTTTCTCGACGCTGAAGAAAGTGGTATGTACGGAGCCTGTTACAAACTCTGGCGTTTGCATCTATCCCATCACTGTGTACCCGTGTGATGCAACTTATACTCAGCACTATTTCCTGGCCTGTGGACGTTGTGATAACACTGTCTTGCATCACTCTGCGAGCACTGGTGTCCTCAGTACCAATGTACACACAAACACACATGCACGCACACACGCACACACATCTGATTGCACCCCCCCCCCCTTCCCCACACACACACGCGCGCACCATGCACTTCTCTGAATGCCGGCATGTTTGTTTACGTGTGCTTGCTGGTGATGACGGTGATGGCGGTGACGTGACGTTGCACAGAGAGAGCTGTATTACTGGAAGCTGGATAGTCGACATCTGTACATGCTGCACTCACCGGATGAAGCAGATGTGGCGCATGTAAGTTGGTATACAGTCATGTACATTGTACCCGCTCCACTCCTGGCTAGTACAGGTCACATTCACTGCATAGTAGTCTTTAGTAACTGTTACAGGTCTCATCATGCAGTGGACAGTGAGTGTGATTGCTATAGACTCCCGCCTTCCTTCCTTCCCTGAACCCTACTAACATTACGCCCTGCACATTCCTGCCTCCCCACATATACAATGCCGTATAACTATGAATCCAGCAAGGCAAACCCTGCACGTTCCCCACTTGTATCGACCCTGGTACACTGTAGTTGCATGTGCGGGCTTTTCTCTATATTGCCAAGAGAACCTGCGTGCCAAGACAGTTTGCAAACAGTCTTGGCAGTGCCTTGAAACCTCTCTCTGACATGTCACATGACCGTGGGCATGGAAATGACCAATCTCGCTGGACATAGCAGGGCCTATATGAGGCGATCAATGGATACTTCACTTCCATGCTCGCGCAGAGTTCAGAGGGCTTTGACTATCCCACCAAGCACACCCAGGCAGGCTTTGGTTTTCCGATCAAGCTCGCGCAGGAGGACCTTGATTTATGTATAAAGGACTACTTCGTAGCTCATTTTTTGTCTCAAGAAAGTTGAGCCTTGTTTGGCAAGCACGATAGGAAGATCAAAGTGTGTGCTGTTCATGCAGAAATGCAGTAAAAACAGTCGTGCTCGGGTTCCATCAGCCAATCCTTGTCATTTGCAAAATATTTTATAAGTTCGATTTGTACAAGTGGGAGCAAGCATTTCAGAAATGTAAAAAAAAAACACTCCTACTCTTTATCAATCAGCCTGATCGTAGCCCTTCGTGCTGCGGCCTGTGACTAGGCCATCTCACACTCGTACTCTTGCTTGACTGCATACTTCTCTACAGTGATTGTGGGTGTCACCGAGGTGCCGTTCGGCACTGTGTGATGTCACCCGACATGTATAGTTGTATACTGTTTGTTTTGCCACGCTGTGCAACTATGTGACCCGTGCAGGAAATCCCCCTGTCCAACATGCTTGTCATCAGCGTCCCCACCAAGGCCGAGCCAATCTCGCCCAACACGACAGCCCACTGCTTCGAGATCAAGATTCAGCGGGAGGGTGTCTACTACATAGGCGAGAAGGGCGCACCTGAGAAGAGTAGTATCCACAGCAACAAGAACTACGTCTTCCCGGAAGATTGCGGGGTGTCCATGAAGGATGCGTTGGCTCAAGCAGTCGGTGAAAAGCGCTGCAAGCCATGGGAAGAGGCCATCCGTGGTGCATTCATGCCGGTCACGCCCAAGCCCAGCATCAAGACAGTGGTCAGTGTCACCGAGTCTACATCCATAGGTACGTGCAAATCAACTCTTTGAACAGTGACTGCTTCTTTGCAGCTGCTACTGATGCCTCTGCTGTTGCGACTTATGCTTCTGCTGCTGCTGCTGCTGCTGCTGCTGCTGCTGCTGCTGCTGCTGCTGCTGCTGCTGCTACTGATGATGATGATGGTTCTGCTGCTGTTGCTGCTAATGCTTCTGCTGCTGCTTCTGCTGCTGCTACTGCTGCTTCTGCTGCTGCTGCTGCTGCTGCTGCTGCTGCTGCTGCAAGTGACTTTTCTTCCCGGTACATGTACAATGCATGTACATTGTACGACAGCGTAGATGTTGGATTCACGACGTGTATCTCCTATTATGATGCACACAACTTCTGCTTTTTCTTTCTTTTGCAGTTGATAATGATGAATTCACTGGCCATGTTGAGCCTGGTCCACCCGGTGAGCCTGCGCCAATGTTCCGCCAGGTCAGTAACGTAATCTTTTATTTTCTATTTTCTCTTGATAAGCAACGAGTGCTAGACAAAACAAGAATTGATTGGCAGTCGCGAAATTCTGAGCAGCATGATTGAAAAATAGTCTTGTATCCCCCACACACTATACATGCCGGGGTGTGGGGCAGCAACATGGCGTGCCATGCACTAACAATTTTCTTTGCACTGCCTCGCATCACGCAGTCAAGGTAGCATTGTCGCCGGCTGTGCGACTCGGGTTCCCACTGCTCCACGACTCTTCACACTGGGTACTTTTTTTGGACCATGAGCAGACCGTGCAAACTGATGTGCGAACTGGAATGCTCGCGCATCCAGAAAAATCAAATACAGTGTAATCCCGTTTCATGTCCGTCAGTTTCAAATTTTTGATTGTCGCCTTGCTCCCTCCGAATCTTCCATATTGGGCATCCCACCTATGCCACGGCTAAACATGTGTGTAGGAATGGCATTAGTTGATCAGAGTTGGTGGCCAGGTACGACATGTGCACATGTGGTCTTGTTCAAGCTGGAGTTCACTTGTGTTAATGGTAGGATCCGCTGAGGTAAGTAAGTGGTACATGGTTCTCTATCAGCGGTTTTAGACTCAGAATTTGGAAAGCTCTTCTTGCCCTTTCTGTCCTGTTTACTTTGCAGTACAAGTCTTCAACTCTCGATATCTGCGACTTCTATCAAATATTCTCAGACGAGTGTCTTGGATCAGGCCAGTTTGGTGTGGTCTATGCTGGTAAGCAATGAACGCCTCCCTCTTGTGCGCTTTGCTTGTGCACGTGCACGTTACGTTCTGCATGTGGGCTAACCATATTCTCGGCACTGTACGGGCTGAACTTGACTGCAACAGACAGAGTCAAAAGCACGAAGAGGCATTTTATTCTTATTTTGGGCTTGTACTTCAATACAGACCTTCCACGATATGTATGTGTGTGCGTGCGTGCGTGCCTGTGTGTGTGCGTGTGTGCTTGTTTGCGAATGCATGCATGTACGCAACTATCAGGTGTTCATCGAAAGTCGGCGAGACCGGTGGCCATCAAGGTCATTGACAAGCTGCGCTTCCCGTCCAAGCAGGAGACTGCGCTAAAGAACGAAGTGGCTATTCTCCACACACTGAAGCACAATGGTGTTGTCAACCTGGAGAGGATGTTCGAAACACCCGATCGTGTCTTTGTTGTTATGGAAAAGATGGAAGGTGACATGCTGGAGATGATCTTGCGCCACCCGAACGGCAGACTGGAGGAACGTACTACACGCTTCCTGATCTTCCAGGTAAGGAATAGTCAGGTTGCAAGACACAGTGTATGTGTGTATGTGTGTGTGTGTGTGTGTGTGTGTGTGTTTGTGTGTGTGTGTGTGCGTGTGTGTATGTGTGTGCACACGGGCATGTATGTGTATGTGTGCATGTGTTGGAGGGGGGGGGGGGGGACTGACGGATACGTGAGCTATCCGTTGATTCATGATCGTGCTGATAAGGTGTCCCTATCGCGGCGCCACTGAACCCCCATGAGGAATCACCGCTCTAGACCTACTGTAGCGGGGCTTTGTAATGCTTGGCAGCCTGGTGTAGATGCACTTCCATCGTTGCCTCTAAGTGCAGTATGCACTGTATGTGCTGTATGTATGTACATGATCTCTGTTCAGATCCTGAATGCTCTTCAGCATCTTCATTCCAAGAACATAGTGCATTGTGACCTGAAGCCGGAGAATGTCCTGCTGCGTGGCAAGTCCAGCTTCCCGCAGATCAAACTGTGCGACTTCGGCTTTGCCCGTATCATCGGCGAAAAGAGCTTCCGCAAGTCGGTGGTGGGCACTCCGGCTTATCTAGGTAAGGAGACAGATTCTCAGAATGTGTGTTTGTGCCATGCGTTTTCTGGGTATCACTCATAGCAGCGGGCAGTTCTGTTGTAACTGACTTTCTTCACCTGCTGCCAGCCCCGTACCACCATGATCTCCACACTCAGACAATGGACTACAAGATAACTACATTTGAAAGACTATATGTGACAAGATGACGGAAACACAAGTAGATATGACGAGCTCAAGACGAAGACTGCTTTTCCCACCACAGCGACACCGCATGCGCCAACACCACCACGTACACACGGCGTACACAAAGTAACGTACTACAGCAGTTCCAGTGTTGCGTACCACTTCACCCCGCTCTACAGCAGTGCTCCACCCCGCTCTACACCCCGCTCTACACCCCGCTCTACACCCCGCTCTACACCCCGCTCTACACCCCGCTCTACACCCCGCTCTACACCCCGCTCTACACCCCGCTCTACACCCCGCTCTACACCCAGCTCTACACCCAGCTCTACACCCCGCTCTACACCCCGCTCTACACCCCGCTCTACACCCCGCTCTACACCCAGCTCTACACCCAGCTCTACACCCCGCTCTACACCCCGCTCTACACCCCGCTCTACACCCCGCTCTACACCCCGCTCTACACCCAGCTCTACACCCAGCTCTACACCCCGCTCTACACCCAGCTCTACACCCCGCTCTACACCCAGCTCTACACCCCGCTCTACACCCCGCTCTACACCCCGCTCTACACCCAGCTCTACACCCAGCTCTACACCCAGCTCTACACCCCGCTCTACACCGCGCTCTACACCCAGCTCTACACCCAGCTCTACACCCCGCTCTACACCCCGCTCTACACCCAGCTCTACACCCCGCTCTACACCCCGCTCTACACCCCGCTCTACACCCCGCTCTACACCCCGCTCTACACCGCGCTCTACACCCAGCTCTACACCCAGCTCTACACCGCGCTCTACACCCAGCTCTACACCCAGCTCTACACCCCGCTCTACACCCCGCTCTACACCGCGCTCTACACCCAGCTCTACACCCCGCTCTACACCCCGCTCTACACCCCGCTCTACACCCAGCTCTACACCGCGCTCTACACCCAGCTCTACACCCAGCTCTACACCCCGCTCTACACCCAGCTCTACACCCCGCTCTACACCCCGCTCTACACCCAGCTCTACACCCAGCTCTACACCCAGCTCTACACCCAGCTCTACACCCCGCTTTACACCCCGCTCTACAGCAGTGCTTAAAATACATGTTAGAGCCCTTGTCTTATGGACTGCCGGCTGCCGGTTTGATTGCCAGTTTTTTTTGTGAAGAATCTTTCACCAGCAGGGTTCCCAGGAAGCCCATCTCAGACCTCGGTTGGGGAGGTGAAGTTGTACCCATCTTTCGCATCCATCCCTAGTCCAGACTATTTTTTGACTCATGTGTGCAAGCCGCCTGCTCGGAATGGGGATTCACGAAAGCCCATATGCTGCGGCTACGTGCGTGTGTGCATGTGTGCGTGTGTATGTGTTTGTTTGTTTTTGCAGCTCCGGAGGTTCTGAACAACGATGGCTACGATCGCTCATTGGACATGTGGTCCGTGGGCGTCATCATCTATGTCAGGTACTTATTTTGTGGAAAGCATGGACGAAAAACCACTCTGGCTTCTAATGCACTTTCTATGATCACAAGCCCTGTTCTTACTGCTTTGGGAATAATGCTTTTATGCTGTACGCACATGGACCTATGTTGTACATACGTACATGTAGTGTAAAGTTGTACACACGTGGTACTATGCTGTACACATGTGCTACTATGCTATACACACATTCAGATCATGCACTGCAAGTAGTCAATGATGAATGGTGCAATGCTTGCGATGCTGAAAATCTCAAGTTTTCATCTGTCTCTATATCTGCTTCTTTCACACCATGTTGTGTTTCCTGCAGCCTGAGCGGAACGTTCCCTTTCAACGAAGATGAGGAGATTGCAGAGCAAATCCAGAATGCCGACTTCATGTATCCGAATGATCCGTGGGAGCAGATCTCTCGAGATGGTAATTGCAATTGTTTGGTCCCAAATTGTCTTTTCAAGTTTTTATCAAGAGTAGATGCGCTACTCACGTGGCATAGTGTGTGCAGGTGTGCAGGTGATCTCTAGACCATGTGTTGCACAGTAATATTATTGTGGTGATTGTGGCAATGCATGTTGTACATGATCTGTACATGTGTGACTTTGTGTGTGTGTGTGTGTATGTGTGTGTATTGGTGTGTGTGTGTGTGTGTGTGTGTATTGGTGTGTGTGTGTGTGTGTGTATTGGTGTGTGTGTGTGTGCATTGGTGTGTGTGTGTGTATTGGTGTGTGCAATTATGCGTGTTATGGGTTTGTTTTCCCGTTTGCATCTTTCCCTCAAACCAATGAATATGTGTGTGTGTGTGTGTGTGTGTGTGTGTGTGTGTGTGTGTGTGTGTGTGTGTGTGTGTGTGTGTGTGTGTGTGTGCGTTTGTGTTTGTGCATATGTCACGGTAGCATCTGGCTTGATCAACCTCTTGCTGCAAGTCAATAAGAGCAGGCGCTGCACGGCAAGGCAAGCATTACTACATCCGTTCCTCACGGTGAGATGATCGGGAGCATATGGGGGGGGGGGGGATCATGTTACGCAATTGTGCCCATGAACGAGTCTACGAGAGTAGATTATGTGTTGTCCATGCTTAGGAGCTTCATGCATGCAAAAGATTATCAGATTAGTCGAAACTGTGTGGTGGAGACCAGACTAAATATTATCGGCAACTTCTTCAGCCTTGCAAGCTGTTGATGGTGCGATCCCAGCAGAAGTTGCTATGGCTTTTTGCTGCAGGTTAGGGTTTAAGGTCTACGGTGTGTGTGTGTGTGCGTGTGCGTGTGTGTGCATGTGTGTATGTGTGTGTACGTTTGTGCGTGTGTATTTACGTTTGTGCTCACACCCACGCAGAGTCCGAACACATGGCAAGACTTGCGCCAGCTGGAGATGGACATTGGCGAGCGTTACCTGACTCACCCGTCCGAGGACAAGTTCATGCAGCAGGAAGCGGCCAAGCTAGCAGCAGCGGCGGCGGCGACAGCTCAAGTAACTGTAGCTGCATCCCCGTGTGGAGATAAGACACTGGTCGCTGGCTACCAAGCTCCCGTCGTCATGCAGAATGGCATTAGCAAGGAGGCCATGGCCAGCATGGCCACTGTTGCGCTGCCTACAGATCGTGTCACAACTACCATTGAAGAATCAGCAGAACTGGCAGGTAGGAACTACTTTTTACTCTGTTACTGTGTCTGGTGACGTTATTGGGAAACAGCTCGAGAGGGATCTAGGCATTGTGTTAACGTAGAGTCTGTCATGATGTGTGTTGATTCGGCTGTCTAGGGACAAAGAGAGGGAATTGGCATGGGGGACGACTTTTCAGTCCGGTCCGTTGCCGTCACCAAGAGGGAGAGAGAGAGAGACAGAAGGGTGGGGGTGGGGGGATCATAAATTGGCAGTATACTAAGCAGTGCAGTTGAATTGGATTGTTGTCGAGTGAGTGTTGCTGTTGCCGTTGCTGCTGGTGCTGGTGCTATCTTTCTACACGTATGTTGGCCCTAAATAATGTGTTATAAAGATTCTAAAATATGATTTGTTAACGATGACCAGTAACTTTCGAAGAGTAATTTTGATCACTTTGAAAACTGATAAATCACTCATTTTGTGAGTGTTTTCTCCGTTCAGGAATACGAAAACAGAAAATTTATTCCACTTTGGATGTGTCACTGATAACTGATACCAGGCTGCAACAAACACCACCTGTGTATACTGTAGCCTTCTGAAAGGGCCTGTTATTGCACTGTTCAGGACACTTACTCCCAGGCTGATTTTTTTGCGTGTGGGGAATAGTATGCGTGATATGCAGTGGATTGGTTTCATTCTTACCGCTACATGTATGTACATACATGTACACCTATGTACATGTATGTACATGTATGTACATACATGTACATACATGTACATGTATGTACATGTATGTACATGTACATACATGTACACCTATGTACATGTATGTACATGTATGTACATACATGTACATACATGTACATGTATGTACATGTATGTACATACATGTACATACATGTACATACATGTACATAGGTGTATGTACATGTATGTACATACACCTATGTACAAGTATGTACATGTACATAGGTGTTTGATTACATTCAATTGGGTACTTTCTCTAAGAAAAATTGGATACTTTCTGATACGATAATTATAATAGAAAAAAAACTAAACTTCCGCCGCACTCTCTTATTGTGTGCTGTGCACGATACCGGTATACATGTGTGGAAGCGAGTCCATAGTGTATGCAGTCACTGTGCGTGTACAGTGCATACATGTAGAAGCAAAGTGTCCGTTGTGTTCTCTGGTGTGTGGTTTGACACTGCAGTGAACTAACCTGTGCTAGGCTGTGTTCGTGTCATGATGTCATGATGTCATGATGTCATGATGTCATGATGTCATGATGTCATGGTGTCATGATGTCATGAGCAAATCGTACTTGACGTTGACCTGTGTTACCACCTGTTATGAGGACGGCAATGCAGCCATCATGACGATAGGCGTCATATTCTGACCGCTGAGCAGACGGTGGATGATGCAGTGCACTCCTTGCCGCTGAGGTTGATGTGACGTGATGATGATCTAATGGCACTAACTTGCTAACACCCTCAGCAGAGCGTGCGTGGGTGTGTATGTGTGTACATGTGTGCATGTGTGTGTACGTGTGTGTATGTGTGTGTGTGTGTGTGCACGCACACGTGCAAGAGAGTGAGTGCATGATAATCTGTATGTAGGTATTTTGCATATGAAAGCCCTCGGCAAACCATATAGGGCTCTGAATCGCTGCTGCTGCCGCCTTTGCCGCTATTGTTCCTCTGACCATGAACTGCTAATTAAAGTTAACCATGTGACCAGGTCATTCTGTTCTCTTGATCTTAGCCTGCTTACTCTCACACTATATAGTCACTACTCGCAGGACATGGCCATGCATGTATTGCTATGCTAATGCCGGCTAATCACTCTTTCCTTCTGAACTTGAAATCACCAATAATTCATCTCGGTAGTTCTTAGTGGACGCCCACTTAAGCATATATCTCGCGGTCTCGTGTGCAGTCCCATGGTGCATTCATGCCTGTCGCAAGCAAGCCTGTGTTATGGCAGCATTCTGTGTCTAGTGGTGTGCTGTGTAGTGTGTAGTGTGGTGTGTGGTGTACGGTGTGGTGTATGGTGTGGTGTGGTGTGGTGTGTACTGGGAGGTGTGCGGTGTGGTGTATGGTGTGGTGGGTAGCGGTGTAGTGTGTGGTGTACTGCGTGGTGTGTGTGTGTTGTATGGTACGGTGTGCGGTGTGTGGTGTATGGTACAGTGTGAGGTGTGGTGTATGGTACGGTGTGTGGTGTGGTGTACTGGGAGGTGTGGTGTAGTGTGAACTCAGTGTAGTGTGTAGTGTGTGGTGTGTAGTGTGTAGTGTGTGGTGTAGTGTACTGGGAGGTGTGGTGTAGTGTACGGTGTATGGTACGGTGTGTGGTGTGCTGTTGGTTTCTTCCTAATACCGTACTTGTTGCTTTTATACGAAGTAGTGATGTGGAGTGCGTACCGGTACCGCCAGTTCTATCTGTTGCTCTTGTTCTATTTTTCTACCGCTATAGTATTAGTCGTTGTACCCCTATATATTATTACAACACTTGTCTACGATGTCACCGTGTTTTGGCCAACGTTAACCTGCGGTGCTAATTATTTACTGTCCTGACAGTGCCAATGTAGCACTTCCATGTTTGTTCTGTGTCACCTCGAGGGAGTGTGTGTGTGTGTGGGGGGGGGGGGGATGTGTGTGTGTATGTGGGGAGGGGGGGGGGGGGTGCGGGTTGTTTGGTTGGCTTTCTACTAGTTTTCCTTACATATTGCGCGGCTGAACAATATGCTATGGCTCGAGTAAAAACTTCACCTGTTGCTGTTCCCAATCGATGAGGGGCACCGGTCACTCGTATTGTTTGGCTCCAGGCTGATCACTCACCGGGAGAAAAATTAGAAGGACGATGGTGGTGCAGTGCATAATGATAATAATAATTAACATTTTAGATTTTGGTGCAGAGCACGTGAAACGGGTGCTTAGGGTCAACATTTGAGATTTTTGAGTTATCATGCCCTTGACCGGGCCTTGTGATAGGTAGCCCATCCAGCTGTCATATTAAAAAACCCTGACGGAAATCAA